GACGAGCTGTGGCGGACACGTGGCTCGTCCCGGATAGCCTCGATGTGAAATGAACTCATCCGACGCTTTCGCAGCCCCGCCCCCGCGGCGACAGCGTGGGCGGCGTGCCGTCCGACGACGACGAGGACGTGCCCGCGGCGCCGTCGGGCGCCCCGCCCCCGGGCCACACCAGCGGCAAGTGGGGGCCCGGCAAGCGCGCGCCGGGGTCGCACCACCGCAAGGCCGGCAACGTGCAGTACTGGTGCGGGCCGTGCAACCGGCGCTTGAGCTCGCGCGCCCTCTATGACCGCCACCGCCTCTCCGACCTGCACTTCAAGCGCACCGCCCTCGAGGCCGAGCTGGACGCCGCCATGCCCTTCGCCCGGGGCGGCAAGGGCGGCGGCGAAGGGCAGGCGGCGGGCGCCGCGGGCAGGCGGGGCCCGGCCAGGAAGAGGAAGGTGCGACACACGGACATCTACGTCAACAGCGAGATCTGGTCCAAGTCCAAGCGCAGGATGCTGCACAGCGCAAAGGTACGTTCACGAGGTGGCTAGTTCAGCGTGAGGCTTTCTCGCAATATGAACCCGGGTACCAGAAGACAAAAAAGAAACGTGCGTCAGGAAAGTCTCTACGAACAGAGCCAAGTTATGCCCCCTATTAAAAAATCCATTTATGTTGGTAGCAACCATTCACTGGGAAATAAGTGAACACTTTTAGCATCTGATATGATTGTGGTGAATATGCAATTTTTCATTGTCTTTTGTCACAAGCTGGAACTCGCACTACCAACATAATTTCTGTTGCCAACACTCTCACAAGCAAAGTACCACTGCCGATACACTTTCCTGGAGCACGGTATCAACTATACTAGGGCAGTGTAGTTCTATTTTATCTACACCGTTTCCCTTTCTTTCTGCGAAGAACCCTTTTTGTTCTTTATTACAAAATCACCAAACACACAAATAGGAAATTCTGAAAGTACTTTTATCACTTCGCCAACTATTTGCTTTTCGACTCAAATATAATGGTTCCGAAAAGAAAAGGGATACATATTTTTCCTAACTACATTTTAATAGATCTTCATTACTAGTTTTCGTATTGGGGGCTTGAGAGGTCTCTCTACAAGCAATTTCAATTACACAATTTATAAAAACAAAAACAAAAAATGTGAAAGTCGTTTACTATGGCTTGCTGAGCTACTCAAATTCTCCTATAGCCTAAAAACCTTAGTGAATAGTGTGCAGCGAGTTCCAAGCCCTCTCCAGCGCTGTCACGTCTCCGTCGCGGAGCCATCTCCCGTCTGCCGTCCGGTGGCGTCCTTGGCCCGCCATTCAGGGCCCCATTTCACCTCGACATTTTTCTTCCTCTGCGGCGCGTATTCGCCTGGCTCCCTTGCGCCCTTCCTTCCGATCGATTTGCCCATTCGCCCTCGCCCTCCCGCCCCATCGACCCCTGCCGCCCTCCGTCATAGACGGCCGAATGCGACGGACAATTGGTTTGTTTATTCCCCATTACTCCTCTCCCGCTCCCCGCCCCGCCCACTCGTCGTCTTCGCCTTCGCGCATTCGCTGGATCGCCTCTCGTTCGGGCGATCTGATTGGAAGATGCACTCGGGCTACGTCTTCTCCTTTCGGTTGCGGGTTTCTTTCTGGTGGTAGGTCAGTAATATGGAAGGAAGATTAGAATTTGCTGTAATTAGAATAACAAATAATTAGAATAACAATTAGTAATTAATAATGAAAAACTACCATAATAATTAGAATATATTGACATATATTCTAATCACCTTTAATATTTCAAATGACATTGCATTTTTTGTCACATGTTTTTTAAAAAAGAGACCATCTTTTGTAAAAAGTATGAAAATTTAATTTACAATAAATACGTTATTATTCGTAATAAAAATTAGACGTAAGAATACGAACTGTGAATACAATTGTTATGAATACACTCACGTATCTCAGTCTTTCAAGAAAATTTGAATTCCGGTTGGTGTATCCAATGAATTGTTAAGTTACAAATATAATGTTCACTATCCCCTTTAGTTGCTAGAGTTTCCGAATGTAAGGTGAAAAAGTTTTGACGAGAGAGCGCTTGACATTTGCGTGAAACATGCGCCGTATGATTTTGTATGTGGCAGTCATATGAAGTTCAATCATTTTATATAAATGTGGAATTTTTTACACAGTTAGATGTATGAACTGTCAGTAATGTGGAGAAACATTCCAGTGATAAGATAATACATCTCTATCTAAACAACACGAGATCTTCTACAGAGCGTTAGGTATTGTCTTACGTAATATACGTGATTCTGTTTACTTATATGCTTCCAGTTAAAGACCGCGCGCGATCTTATACCTCCCCATTCCCTTCCCACTCGTCTCCAGTCATCCGAGACGCCATGCGGAGCCCTTTGTGGGAAAAATGTTCCCAACGTTCCTTCACATGCACGGCAGGAATCTTCGCTGAATAACCCACGCAGACACACAAAACCAACATTAAGGCACGATTCACGGCAGGCTTCAAATCCAGGATCCCTATGTGTGAGGCGATGACTTTCAAGAAACAAAATAAACGTTGCACTTTTCTTTACACTCTCATGACTCTATTTGTCGACTTACCCCACCGCTAAAACAGAAACTTCACGTCAAAACCCACCCCG